CTTTCATTGTGGCAAAGAAACTGTTCTTGCTTTGACTACTGACAGTATGCTGGACAAGCTGGACAAGCAGGACACAAAGGAAACATTAACTGCCGAACTTTGCCAAGATAAGGCGGGACATCCTTCAAAATTCCTTCTTTATAGAAAAGTCTGCCAGACATTCTAGGTCTGTAGGCTGAAGATGGATGCCCCAACATTGCAGAGGAACCATGGGTGACTGTCCAAGCAGCCAGGTGTCTATCATTTCTATAGTTTTGGAAGTGACTTGCACTGCACTTGCTGTTTACTCAGGTAATATTATGTCCTTCTGGAGTCTTTGGTGAAGTTGAAGACTAGATAGTTATAGTTTCCCTTAGTTATGATAGAAGGTAAATTAGGTACAAAACTTTGAACTCATCAAGATAGAATAAATAATGGAGTGTTTTTCCTGAATTTGCCAAATACAAATGGACTGGATATTGTAAATGTAATTTCTTACTTGATTTTTATTATATATAGTCTTGCTGTGTTAAAGTTAAACCTTTCTTTTTATTTAAACAAAAAGGGGGAAGTGTCATGGAATATTATTTTAACTAGGCAAAGATGTGTTATATATGTTTGTGTTGCATTTGTTTAGTTATGTAGAGATGTGTTGCATTTGTTTTACCTTGCTGCCTAAGGCACCTGTAAGTCTAATAAAAAGCTAAACAACCAGTAGCTTGGGAGAAGAGGTACAGGCAAGGCTGGCGGGCAGAGAAAATAAATAAGAGGAGAAATCTAGGCTAAAAACGAAGAAGAAAGAATGAGGGTCACACCCAGGTCAAGAATCCAGGCAGCAGCCAGCCAACTGGATTTGAGAAGCAGGGAAAGTAAGCTATACAGAAGGAAGAAAGGTAAAAAGCCCCACAGCAAAAGGGAGATGAAGAGAAACAGGTTACATTAAGTCAAAAGAGGTAGCTAGAAATGACCCTGAGCTGGCTGAGCATTCATAACTAATATTAGGTCTCTGTCATGACTTGGGAGCTAGTTGGTGAGCTAAAAGAAAAGGCCTGGTACAGAGGGGATGCTGAGACTCAGAGATGCATGGGGACTAAGGGACAAAAGTGTCCCTGGAAGGGAAAGGAAGCAAAGCAACAATGTAGAAGAATGACTTGATAAGATGTGGGAAAGAGCTCAATAGCAATACTGACCATGGCAGAGAACACCTAGCAAAGATGACAGTGGAAGGTATGATCAGTCAAGAGGAAAATTTAGCAAACTGTGGTCAGATTTGCAAATAGCTTATCATTTCTGCTTCACTGTCCTAAACAACAATTAGCATACAATTCATTAGATTATTAAATTTGAGTTGGATTGACCTTGGGATTTGGATTATTTTTTACAGTTTTATCTCCATTTTTATCATTGGTATGTATGTGTGAATGGGGACATGTACATGCCACAGGTGCATGAGTTTCACGATGCACCTCTAGTGGCCAGAGGACAACTTTCAGGAGTTGATTCTCATCCTTCCCAGGTAATTAAGCTCCGATCATGAGTCCCGATGGCCAGCGCTTTTGCCCACTGAGCCGCCGTCACACCGGCCCCACATTGGTTTACTCCCTTCCAATAGTGACTTCCTTACTATCCAGTGCTTCACTGCAGAGTCTGCTGAACTCACAGCAGTCATGTGCTCACGACCTCCAAGTGGGAAAGCCCACTCGTGATGTCTGGATCAGAGGACATCTACCCGCACATGATTCATACCTTCTAATGCAAAAGCTTTTCATTTTATTGATGTATTTGGAGTGTGTGTGGGGGGGGGGAGTGTTGTGTGTGTGTCTGTGTGTGTCTGTGCGTATGGGCACATGTGTGCAGGTGTGTAGAGACCAGAAGGAGACCTCTAGTGCTCTACTCTATCATACTCTGCCTTATTCCATTGTGACAAGGTCTCTCACTGAACATGGACTAACTAATGGCCATTGAGACCCAGAATCCTCCTGTATCTGCTCTCCCACAGTGCTGGAGTTACAGACATGTTACCATACCCAGCTTATAATGTAGGCTCTGGGGATTTGAACTTAGGTCCTCCTACTTGCACAGCATGAGTTCTTTACCCACTGAGCCATCTCCCTAACTCCCAAAGAGGTTCAAAGTTTCCTTTTTTTTTTTTTTTTTTTTTTTTTTTTTTTTTTTTTTTTTTTTGTGGTACTAAGGATCAAACCCAGGGTCTTGAATGTGATGGGCAAAGGCACCCTACTACTAAGTTATATCCCTAGTCCTAGAAGCTTTTAAAAACACTTTAGCGGGCGGTGGTGGCAGACGCCTTTAATCCCAGCACTCGGGAGGCAGAGGCAGGCGGATCTCTGTGAGTTCAAGGCCAGCCTGGTCTACAGAGTGAGTTCCAGGAAAGGCGCAAAGCTACACAGAGAAACCCTGTCTTGAAAAACAAAAAACAAACAAATAAAAACACTTTAGTGTTGTAGTGAACAAATAGTACTGATCCAGGAACTTAACCAAGCTCCTAACAGACCTGTGTTCACATTAGAAAGCCAGCAAGCTGGGACTGAGAGCTTCTTCCATTTGTAGTCATTCGCTTTATTTGATCCCAGAACCCACAGGAAGTCATAGTGTGTGGGCAGGACTTCCTCTTCCTATCTTCCCTACTCCTTCCCCAAAGGTCTCATCAGCAGAAACATTGAAAGTTTGGAGAAATGGAGTAACAGCTACAGTGATTTAAGCAGTAACTGCGGAGTGGAAACTGTGCTAAAGGTGATTTACACCCATCTCATTTGTACCTCGGAGGGAGGTCGTCGTCTTCTCTGTGCTCTAGAAAAGGAGAAATGAAGGCTCTTACCTCACACAGCCTGGGAGAGAGACAGAATCTGGGCCCTGACTGCAATCTCCCCATTTCCAGTGCCTTGCTCTCACGGGCTCCCCAGTGGACTATTAGACCAGTTAGCAACAGACAACTCAAGCAGAGTCCATCATCTGCCATCCGGGAGCACTACTCCGGGAAGCCAGTTCCCTTTCCTCCTTCCTCACCTTGTGTTTGTTCCCCCTGGAACCTGAGACCATTGAGTGGGGCCTTTCCTAACCGCATCTTCAGTTTAGGAATGGAGTAACGCTCCTCTCCTCTGGTGTGCCCAGCTCAGCTTAGTCTCTTGAGAGTCAGTTACATAAAACACAGGGCACATTCATAAACTACGGATGCTGATGAGGCTCCCAGGGGAGTGCACCAAAATCTTTTAAATCTATAATTGACCTGAAAATTGATAGTGCAGCCAAATCAGAACAGTGTAGAGTTCTGGAGGACCCCTCGGCTCCTCTGGACCCTTTCACACTCCTCAAATCTATGAAATGACAGTAATGTAGAAGGAAATGAGAGCGTTTTGTGATTTTTATTCAACCTGTTCCTTTTAGACATTTTCACCCAAGCACATAGCTTATTGTGATGACTGTCACCCTACCTTCTATTATCTGTCTCCCTTCTGTCCCTATTCCTCCTGACAAATCCCTCTCTCACATTCACGTCTTTTTGAGCTGTTTTGTGACCCAGTGGGTTTAACCAGAGCCATCTGTGCAAACATGGATTTGGAGCTCTCCGTGAGAGCCCAGTGGATTCGGACTGATGGTATTTAATGAACGCTTACCGAACACTTGAAGCACTCCGCATGCACTGTCGCGTTTAAACTTCCCAGCTGCTCTAGGCAGCTAATATAACATGAGGCTCAAGCAACTGAGGCAAGGGCAAGGAGCTAGAGATACAGCTCCGCTGGGAAAGTGCTTGCCTTGCAAGCATCAAGGCCTGAGCGCAATTCCCTAATGTCACATGGAAAGAAAAACAAACAAACAGGGATGATGCATACCTGTAAGCCCTGAGTGGGGAGGCAGAGGCAAGGGAGTCCGTGTGACTAACATGCGGCAAACCTACTTATTTGGTAAGGGCCAGTACACTGAAAGAGCCCATATCAAAAAAGCAGGCAGCTCCTAAGGAACGATGACATCCAGGCTGTCCTCTGGCCCCCAAGTGCACTTGCACACACATACACACACACACACACACACACACACACAGAGAGAGAGAGAGAGAGAGAGAGAGAGAGAGAGAGAGAGAGAGAAGTAAAGTGCCCTTTTGTTTTATTTTTAGAGACAGAATTTCTCTGTGTAAGGTGGCTGTCCTGGAACTTACTCTGTAGACCAGGCTGGCCTCAAACTCACTGAGATCTGCCTGCCGCTGTCTCCCAAGTGCTGGGATTAAAGCATGTGCCACCACTGCCTGGCTAGTTAAGTGCCTTTTCATCCTCCCAGACATAATAAGTGACAGCGATAGGATCAGTGCAGGCATTTTGTGCCCCGAGCCGGTGTGATGACCAGTCACACTGTGGGGCTTTACTCACTAGGAGAGTTGGGAAGACCTGAGTCGGTGGTGGCTCTGCTGGGTAGTCACCCCTCATCATGCACAGCTGGGTATCTCTCAAGCAAGCAGTGTATAGGGGGCTGGATGGGAGCTCCATAAAGACTGAGTGAGGTCAAAGACCCCACATCGTGAAGGAAGGAGGGTCATGGCACCCCAGGAGGTTGCAAAGAATGTGAGTAGACAGATAAGACGCCCTTGTTCACCAGCACACAGGCTGCTGGGCAGGCAGATGCTGACAGGCACCCAGGCACACACAAACCAGCATGAATGGACTGCACACGGGTGGGCACAGGCACACGTGCAGACTGGCACCCATGCAGAGATGAGCACACACAGCCCTACATAGACTAGCAAAGGCAAACAGTGAAGTGAAGGCATACCCTTCTGCCCTCTAAGCCACGTTTATACAGAATCACACAAAAGGAGCACTTTCCCAGCAATGGATAAATAACAGGTTGCATCACTGCTTACTTTTGGGTCCCCCAGACACATGATGGCAGTCATTTCGCACTGACAGTGCCAGGGTGTCTCGTGTCTGCCACCTTGGCCCGCTCCAGACATTCATATCAATGCCATGTTGTCTAAACATGAACTGGCTTGAACATCCCTCTGTTCCATCTAGATGCCGAAGAGAGTGAGGCTCTCTACAAGGCCTTCTGTGCCTTCAGGAGAGGACGTGGTCAGCGCACAGGAAGGGTCCGTGGGATCGCTCCAAGGGTTGAGGGGGCTCCTTTCACTAGAGAGTAAGCCTCCTCCATGAAGCCTCTCCTGCTCCCCTCAAAGGATTGAAGGTAAGTTACATAACATCTGAATAAACAGGGCTCATACAAATCCCCACCTGCAGACTACTTGCGGCAATGAAAGGACACATCTGAAGTACTTTGCTCTGTCTGGCACCTCCCCCTGGGCATGTCCTCCTGTAACTGTTATCATTCTAACTGTGCCATATCCTTTGCCTCAAAAAAAAAAAAAAAATGCCAAAAGCCCTGGGAGAGTTGTTCTCAGCTGACATCTCTGTAGCAAGTTGGGAGGGAAGAAGCTTAGGTAGAAGTTCCTTTGCCTCCACTGATGGCTGCCGGTTCACCAGTATCACCAATGAGACACATAACAGCCCTTTCTGCTTTGGTAGACTCAGAAGTGAAGGCTAAGACGTTGAGAAATGGCAGGAAGCAGTTGGTCGAAGGGCGAGGACTGCCAACCCAAGCAGGCCCTGTGTAATTAGCTGCAGGCCAGAACTTACTGTGAGATGGTCTCTAATTGGGATGGGAGGTGGGGGCTAGGACAAAAAAAAAATAAAAAATAAAAAGCCAAACAAACAAAACAGAGGAGCTAGAACAGATGACCTTCGAAGGTTCTCATCCAAAACTCTAATGCGCCGCACTCTGGGGCTGCAGCAGTGTCTTACAAACTAAAGTGCGATTCCTTCGGAGCCTAGCTCCAGAGGCGGAGCTCAGTCTTTCCCAGCCCGCAGCTAGAGAAGCACTGCTGTCTTTGCCAGCGCCATGTTATTCTTTGGTTGGCTTTTTAGAAAATAGATCCAGGATAGATGACCCTAGGCTTGACATTTGGTTTCACCCTCCCCTGGTGTCCAGAAGCTGCAGGGGCTTCAGGCAGACATGGCAGAGATTATATGTAAATCAATAACAAGTTTTCTCTTGTGCTCAGACCATGAACACTGACTAGCTTGTTTTCATGACATCCCAATAAGATAAGCGAGTTTTATGTCCCTGTTCCAATTTAATTATGCATCAGTGTTTTAATTAGCCTAAATGAGTTTACTTTTTCTCTGTAGAATGAACTTTTGCCAGATCCCTACATTGTCATCACACTGTCTTGTCACAGCTGAGCACAGACAACAGAGACAGCTAAGAGCTGTGGAGGGAGACAGACAAAATGGAGACCCGGGCAAGGAGAGCAGGCATGGTCGGAAGGGTAGGTGAGGGGACCCAATGCAGGTGGCGGTGTGGGGGAACAGTTGGTGGGTACAATATAGAAAGGCAGTAGACATATACAAAACATGGGCACCTGGGTAACAGTTATGGTAGCTGAGGATGCACTGCACTCAACAGACACACTGGATTCTCCCAAAGGGAATATATCTATCACCTTCCCCATCTCCATCGGAAGACTGTCCTCTACCTGTTGAGTAGAGAGGCTTGTCCACGTGACTTTCTTTGTACAATGAAATATTAAGTGCATTAGTTTGCTTTGTGTTGCTTTAATAGAATACCCGAAACTGGTCAGCAGCATTGATCTTTTCCAGAGATCATTCATAACCCAATCATGTAGTCAATCCCACGTCTTAAATGTACCGTCATCTCTCATTACCATAATATTGGAGATCAAACTTACAGCACATGGACAATATCTGGTTTTGTTTCTCCATTTTTTAATGTATTGGCTTAAAAAAAAGTTACACAATGTATTTGATCATATTTCCCCACGTCCTTCCCCTGATCCTTCCCATCTCCTACCCACCAACATCATGTTCTTTCTCTCTCTCTCAAAAAAAAAATGAAAAAGAAAAAGACAAAAACACCAAAACAAAAAGCGCACATAAAACATGGAGTCTATTTGGTGTCGTCATCTACTCTTAAGCATGGGACCTGCCCTGGAGTGTGGTTGGAGTACCTGATGTCACTCCATTGGAGAAAACTGATTTTCCATCCCACAGTCCCACAGCAGATATCAATTGCAATAGTTTCTTGCTTAGGGGAGGGATTTTGCATCCATTTCCCCTTCTTGTGCTGGGATTCATCCACCACCTCTTTCTCTTACAATCTGCCTCCTCGTCTACCTAGACCCCTGAGCCCTGAGGGACTAAGTGCTGGCTGCATGACCAATACCTGAAGCATGACAACTGTGAGAAGCAGCGTCATCTGGTGTATTAGGCTAGGCCTTTGAGGCTTCCAGCAGCACCTCGGGAAGAGCTGGCCCTCATAGCTGTAGTTCAAACAGGATGGAAAAGCAGGCAATACCGCCCTAGATCACATCTACTGCTCAGAGCAAAGCTGAACGAGATTCCACCCAGACCGTTCTTTCTAGCTTCAAGGCTGCACTCAAGCGGCTTCCTTTGCCACATCCTTCCCAAAGCCCATGCTTTTCTAGTCTCCAAGTCTAAACCTACATGTCGCTTCCTCAGCATACCCTAGCCTTACTCTCCTCCCGTCAAATTTATGCCTGCCCTTCTGTTCATTTTTTCCTAAATGCACCCAGCTCTTTCATCGCAATGTGATTATATGTCTCATGTTTGTCTCTCCCATCATGTGGGTAGAATGTCAGCTTCACTTAGTTCTAACATAGTCCTTAGTGTACAGCAGGCATTTAACAAACACTTGCAGAATGAAAAATAACAAGCACTCTCCTGGGGTATGAACTTGTTAGGACCACCCTGATGGCCGGGGCTCTTCACAGGAGGAGGTGTGCATCTACAGTAGTAGACTTCCAGCTACTACCCAGTGTCTATGGTTAGGATTGACTTGAGAGACAGGCGTAGAATCTATAAAGCAAATTAAGTCAAAGTTTAGCATCTAAAAAGAACAATTCACTCGCAAAATGTCTGTGCATTAAGAGCTTGGCTGGTCATTTCTGACTTGGATACCTGTTATGAGGCTGGAGACAGGGGGTGACTGGAGAAGCTGGGCCGAGCAGCCAGGTGTGTCTCGGTACCTGTATCATCTCTGGGTCACTGCATGTGGGATTGCTGCACAAATCTGGGTATATCAAGTGATGGAAATGTACCTCAGTATCTTGATTCATCACAAGAGAAGGCTCAGACTCACCTGGGTTTCTCACAGGCTTGACTCAGGTCCTTGTTGTCCTGTGTCCTCTTCTCCCATCCACAGCTGCAACCATGAAGGAGTCTCAAGTGTGCCCTCCCTTGCTCTTTTATCTCTTGACTTTCTGTAGACCCGCAGTCAGTCTACACACAGCTTCATTCAGGAAATGGGAGTGGCCAAAATCTCCAGGGATAATTCTAAATCTAAGATAAATGGGAGCCACTGAACAAATGCCCTATGGATAGACTACTCTGGAAACCATCATGGAAGACTCAATGGTACCCATAGAGCCTAAAGCCCTGTTAGTCCAAAGTGGAGACCCCATAATTTACATTGACTAGCTTCTCCCTTCTTTCTCCCTGTTCCTTCATACCTGCTCCAAACTACCTTACAAATAATGGCATCCCTCTGTACATCCTTGAATGTCTTGAATGCTGCTTTTGGAGAAACTTAAACTAAGAGATTAATGCATTGGTGAGATAACAAAATTCTGAACATGTCTTAGTCATGCAGAAATTATCACTAGGTGTTAAGTACAGAAGGCAGGATTAACCATGATACAAATAAATCATGCCTAGCTAAATGCCCAACCACCATAGATGCCTACTCAGTTACCATACTTTGTTCATGCTAAGACACACCTTGTCTTTATGTTTTAACTTTTCTGGAAACAAGAAAAAGTGCCACCAAATAGAATTAGATCCCTAATTTAATGAACACTAGTGGACTTGTACTCTCGTTTGTCCTGGGGCCTCATAAAGAGGACATTGTGTCTTCTGGGGGAAGGGATTCCCACAACACGCATCATGAACCTGAAAATGACCCCAGCCATGAAAGAAAAGAGACTGGGAGAACCAGGTTTTCTGGACAGGTGCTGGGACAGCCAGTTCATAAACACAGAGACTGTTTCTCATGTGTCTGTAGCATCAAGATAGAGCTTGGTCGAAGTTATTCACCTGGTAAGTGAGATGGGAAGGTGGACTGTCCTACCTGTCCTGGAAGCACACAGAGGAAGTGAAACAGCTCCAGCAAAGACAGATAGGGCAGAAAGTGAGCATCTTTAGAATTTCAAGAACATGGGCATGCTTTAGCAACTACGGAGACCGAGTGAGCCCTTCAGTACAGTTCCTCACACTTGATTTTGAACACACTGCCAGCTTCAGACCATGAGGAAACAGGTAACCTAGTGACTGCTGTATTGCCCTTCTCTTTCCTCCACTTTCCAGGACTGTGCTTGGTGCCTTCTTCTTTCTTCTCCAGAATGCAGCCTTTTCCCCTCACAGGTTTCCCCTACTCCTGGCACATTTTAAAACCTACCCCTCACCTCATTTTCCTCCCAAAGTTAATCTCCCTCCTCTCCATCTCTTCAGGCTTAGCCCACTCTCCAGCAAACCAGATGGATGCATCTGGTATTCAGGGCTGATGATGAGTTATCTCTGTTAAGGACCATTTGTATTGTAATAGCACTTTCTATGCCTCAAGCCCACGAGGATGAGCACATGCCATGCATTGGATAGTGAACTCACAGGGGTACTGTGGAGTATTTTTTAAATTCCAAGGGAAACACAGAGGCATCTGTCAGGCTGGGTACAAATTACTACTATTAAGTTATTTGGATTCACCTACTTAATAAACACAACTGTTAGACATTTCTTTTGGCTTAGAAGAGCTGTGGGGGTGGAAGTCAATGATCTGTGAATAGAAAGTTTGGAAACTTAAGCAGTGGGTAGGAGTGGTATGTGAGGTGACTCAGATGCTCTCAGGAAAGAGTCTGCAGAACAAAGGACCCCTTCAGGTACCCCAGATCACAGCCTGTAGGTGAGTCCATCCTTCCAATAGGTCGAGATCCCTATCACCAAATTCCTAGTATCTTCCTAGGTAATGACTTCAAGACTACCTATTCCGAAGCACTCCCTGACCATGGCCCCAGGAGATAGAGAGCCATACTTAAGGTGTGAGATTCCATGGCAGAACTGAGAACAATCTGAATTTTTAGGCTTTCCTCCCAAATCAAGTTAGCTTCCCCTTCTGTTAGGCTTGTCCCATCTTTTCCTCAGTATTCATGGATAGAGCATACATTAGTATATATATATATATATATATATATATATATATATATATATATATATACACATATATATACATATATATATACACACACACACATATATATATATATATATATAGTGGATTCTACATTAGAATGTAAGTTCCATTAAAGCATGGCTTCACATGCACATTACAGTATAACCAATACCTGCCAGAGTCCCTGTTATATAATAGTCACTCAATAAATGTATTGAATAAATTAGCTAGAGTTCCATGGAAGAACCAAGCCCTAACACCCTATCATCTACCATATGGATTACCTTCTTTCCTATGCAACAAGAATGGTGCTGTCTATGCGCCTTGGAGGAAGAGAGAACATAGTCACTCAAAGTAATGTCTGTGCGCTTTGATTCAGGAACTCCTATGGGAAAGGCTGAGTTCCCGAGCAAACAAATGGCTGGAGAAGCCTGTTCCTCTAAGTAGCCTACTTTGGCTACCCAATCCACTCTTCCTGCCTCTACTAAATACTCCTGGGTTGGCAATGGTTAGGAGGCAAAGCCTCTGCTTCTACTGGGGAGCACTTTGGAGAGATGCTCAGCCATCCCTGGAAGGTGGCTGTGGGACCCCACAGCTAATGGCTCTGTAAGCAGCTCCAGCCTTTGAAAGGTCTCACAAAAGAGGACGTGCACAATTGAGGCTGCAGCCTAAGTACTGTCTGGTCCTGATAAAGCTGCCTGGGAACGCCCTGTCCTATCCCTTCCCCAAACCAAAGGCTCTTTGAGAGTCGGCCAAGCATGTGAGAGCAGCCAAGCAGTACTAAGTGCATTATCTTGTCTAAGCAAAGCATGAGAAGTAAATTAAGATCCTCGCTGACCTCACTGACTAAACATTAAAAAAGCCTCTGCTTTTACCTAATGCATGACCATTGCCCTGAAGAGAATCCCCTCCCTTCCCTTAAAATTGCATTTAGCCTTAAAAAAAAAAAAATGGCCGTGTCTGCCATCTCATTCTGTAAAGAGCTTTCTAGTTCATCTTTCTCTGGTCATTTCTAAAACAATCAAATGAAAGAGGAATGGGATTGCCATAATTAACTTAGACCCATAA